CTTTCACATCCTTGTTGGTGATGTTTTTTAAAAGTTACCCATACTGGTGGGTGTACAGTGATACAATCATTTTACTCCTAGATAACTACCCAACTGAGATGACTAACTCTATTTATCAGTGTATACTTCATGGTATTCTCAAATTCAAATGCTGAGGAATTGTAAGAGAATGCCTAAGATGAAAAGTCTGATAAACTAAGGGGTTTAGCTAAATTGAAAGCATAAGAAATTAATTAAAAATTAACATAGGAATAGTGGAGCAGGCATCTCCAAATGCATGCCTTACATCCAACAAAAAACATACAACATGAAGCAGAAAGTGCAGGTAGCAGTCAGAAAGTCAGGCTCAAAAGACACTGCACAGATGGCTCCCCTATAGTGTGCCTTTCATTTGACTAAGGAGAGATAACCAAAAGAAATCAATTATACACAAAGATAATAACACCAAAAAAATAGACAAGACTTGCACGGGTTCTTCAAAATGGAAGACATCCAATTGGTGTTAAATTTCATTTGTCATAGAAAAATGCAAATGAAAACTGAAATACCTAACACTACATACCTATCAGAAAGCATATGTATATATAAAATGTTGGTGAGGATGTGCTGTAAATGAAACTCTTCATCTTTCCAACACGATCACTGAAGACAAAATGGGTGCATAAGCAAATGTGGTAAAGAAAGATGATGTTGCTGGGCTATCAAAAGATTATAGCGTGTGGAGTCTTAAAGGCTTGAAGATAAACAAGCGGCCATCTAGCTAAGAAGCAACAAAGTCCACATGGAAGAAGTCCACATGGAACACCAGCCTGTGTGATCAGGAGGAGTCGATGGGATCTGGTATCAGGCATCAAAGACCCAGAACAAAAAATCATATCAATGTAAATGAGGGGAAGAACAGAGTGGAGACCCAAAGCCCATCTGTAGACAATTGGACATCCCCTTACAGAAGGGTCACAGGGAAGAGGTGAGCCAGTCAGGGTGAAGTATAGCACCATTGAAACATACAACTTTCGTTTAGTTCTTCAATGCTTCCCCCTGCCCCTACCCACCCACTATCATGACCCCAGTTCTACCTTACAAATCCGGCTAGACCAGAGCATGTACATGAGTACAGATAAGAGCTGGAAACATAGGAAATCCAAGACAGATAAACCCCTCAGGACCAATACTGAGTAGCCATACCAGGATGGTGAGGGGAAGGTGGGGGGAGAAAGGTGGAACCCGCTCACAATAATCTACATATAACCCCCTCCTAGGGGGATGGACAACAGAAAAGTGGGTGAAGGGAGACATCAGTCAGGGTAAGACATTCAAAAACAATAACAATTTATATACAGTGAACCCTCGCCACTTCGCGCTTCGACTTCCGCGGCTTCACTCTATCGCAGTTTTTGCGTAACAGCGCATGCTCTGTCATTACTGCCACTGATTGGCTCATACTGTACACGCTTCTGTCTGCATCGCTATGTATCGGAGCTACGTTA